GATTTATTATAGGCCTACCACTGTGGAAAAACAATTTATTTCGTTTCTGTTGTTCAATAACTCATGCATTTTGTTTCTTTAAGCACAAACAATGAGCTATATTATTTCATGGTTTGTACTGAGAAAGGTAATCGAAATACCTGTTGTAAAATGTAGTTGTAGGCATTCAGTACAAAGTATTCAACCAATTGTCGTGTTGACTACTGCAATGAAACCCATTTGTTTGTATATACATATTAACCAACAGTTCCAAAAATCTAATCCCGAATCTCGAATATCAAAATCTATATATATATATTATCTATATATACTTATTTAATACGCAAGCAGGAATTTTGTGACAATTACTCCTCCAAAACTACTGAACCGATTGACATGTTTTTGGTGTCATTGGAAAGAGCGTAACGTGAAGTTGTGCAGGAAACTTTCTTTTTAGGGAAATAATTAGAGAGTGAGGCCCTGGGGCCCTTTAAAGTTTCGTATTTCTCCATAAGATTAACATGGGAAACAAAAGTTGTTTTGAAACTCCAGCTGTTGTCAGAAATTAAATATTGAGAATTGGTCTCCATGGAAGCATGAGAAAATTCACAATGTTTACTTTTGCTTTGACATTTAAATGTAAACAACCAGAACTGTCAAATGCCTATTTCACAATTTTAGACAGCTGATAAAAAAAATAAAACAACTATGTGGTAGGTTTATTTAATCTTAAACTATATGATAGATTATTATAAATCTATTTCAATAATTATGAAACAAATTTTTCCCGTTGCGAAGCAAAAATTAATAGCGAGAAGAAAAATATATGTTGTAAACAGTCAATGTGTAAATTATCGAAGTTGTATTAAAAATGTGTATAGTTTTGGATGTTGGTTTGTGTTTAATGATATAAGTTAGTTATTAAATTTTTATTTTAAGTTTTAAGGATTTGGCATATGACTAAGCCTATGATAAATAACACCATTTCAGATTTCTGCCAGTTATTACCTAACTCTGTCCTGTAGAGTTTAAAGTAGCCTACACCTTATTGTCTACGAATTGGCTAGATAACTTAGGTACGATACTTAATAAAAGCTGACAGCCTTTTTTTACGTCGACCTTAAATTGTAAGCTTACCTTTTCCCGTCCATGGGCAGTTTGATTGTTAAAAATTCACCCTTTAAAATGGAAAAGGACTGTTATGTAAATTGTAAGTCCATTGGTTGATAATCTTTTAGTTGGCTCTTTTGCTTTTTTAAAATCATTGGAAATTATGACTGTTATAAGTTTTCAACCAAGTAATTTGTTTGTAAATAACTCCTGTACTTCTTTGCAATTGCTCGATTTCGAGCAAGATGTACACTAGTATCTATACTTATTTAATACGCAAGCAGGTTTTTTGTGACAATTACTCCTCCGAAACTACTGAACCGATTTACATGTTGTTGGTGTCATTGGAAAGAGCGTAACGTGAAGTTGTGCAGGAAACTTTCTTTTTAGGGAAATAATTAGAGGGTGAGGCCCTGGGGCCCTTTAAAGTTTCGTATTTCTCCATAAGATTAACATGGGAAACAAATATTTTTATGAAACTCCAGCTGTTGTCAGAAATTAAAAGTGAAAAGAAGAACATATGTTAATTGTAAACAGTCAATAAGTTTGCTAATTTAACAGTTAGTTTGCCACAAACATTTACTTACTCGGTTGAAATGAAATAGTTACTATTTGAATTTGGGTTGGTGTAATTATTACAATGGGAAAAAACGAGAGAGCCTGGATAAATTGATATACTAAAAAGAAAACTGAATTAACACTGTACTGAATTTCTTAGTAATCATTGAAAGAGACGATTTGCAAACTATGGAAATATAGGAAAGTCATAGAACACCACCAAGGGGAAGAAATAGAAATAATGTGTGTTATAAACACTAAAAAACAAAATCAGCTTTTGAAATATGATAAGATATTTGCAAGAAATTTTGATTATATCGATCTGTTATGTACATCTTTAGTATTCCATAATCTTTGAGTCGAATCTTTTATAGTCATAAAAAATATGACTGTTATTCGTTTTAAAATAATGCCTGTAATACTTAGCAATAATTGCTCGATTTCGAGCAACAGGGACACTAGTACTTATTTAATACGCAAGCAGGTTTTTTTGTGACAATTACTCCTCCGAAACTACTGAACCAATTGACATGTTTTTGGTGTCACTGGAAAGAGCGTAACGTGAAGTTGTGCAGGAAACTTTTTTTCTAAGGAAATAATTAGAGAGTGAGGCCCTGGGGCCCTTTAAAGTTTCGTATTTATCCATAAGATTAACATGGAAAACAAAATTTGTTATGGAACTCCAGCTGTTGTCAGAAATTAAGAGTGAAATATTTATTAATGGTATCCATGGTAACAAAGAACAAACCCACAAAATTAAAAAATGTAAACAAACAGAACTAACTGTCAAATTAATTTTGATTTCAACACAGCTGGTTCAAACATATTAAATACTGCATGATTATTAGAACAGGAACGGTAGGGATCATAAACAATTATCAAATATGTCACTCGCCCGAATCATTTTTGTCTATGCCCGAATGTTAACATTTAACATTGATTAAATGGAACTGTCAAACTATATGTTAATGTCATTAGTATGGAATTCTTTCAACATCATTTGTTGATCGAGTTAGTTTCAATATTTTTGAACTGCTGTAATAATATTTTACAGGAAATAATTGTTAGATAAATTCATGGTATAAGTAATTCAGATTCTTCAATCTTTGCTGTTATTAAAATTGTGTTTCCGCAGCAAACCTTCAGACTAAGCGAATTTCCATTTACCTGGCTTAATTAATACTAGGGTTGCTTTCAGAGAGGTGAAAGCCAGTTGAGCGGAACAAACGTGATTTGAGATTAAATATCGATTTCGATGCGGTTCGATATATCGCTTATTAAATTCTGATTTCTAACATTGGCTGTTTCTAATCAGCTGGCAACACATATAGGTTCCCAAGAAAGTAGTCACCGGTCAGTATCCCTCCGCTCCTTGTTTATGCTCCGCGTATTGAGAAAGTAGTGAGAAAGTTTTCTCGATTTGCAGTGAATTCCGCGCCTTAAAAAAATGTTTTAACGGTATTTTATGGTTTATTAAGATCATAGGAATGGCTTAAAAACGTTTAAAAGAAAAGTCTAGAAGGTTCAGAAATACCTTATGGGTATCTTGTTTACATTTTTCTTGTAAACAAAAAACCTGTCATGGCTACTTTAGTCCCATAAGCCTAATGTTAAAAATTGGAAATTTTAAGTTCGTTTTAAATTGCATTAGCAATATCTAATTGAAATTTGTTTGTTTAAAAACCATCTCACTATTAGTCTAAGTAATTTTGTTAAGTTTTACTAAAATGCGTTCAGCCGTTATTGAGTGATGTTTCTCTATTTGTTGCATTGAAGTTGATCCCAAAGAGCTTCGCTCGCTCCGCTCAACAAAGGTTAGTTATTCCCTTAAAATGGTCATTTTTTCCTATCTAAATAATATTAAGTTAATTTTAATATGAGTACTAAGGTTTGCTGCTACAGGGAAGGTAGGTGTGATTTTGTTGAAATGTTGATAGCTAAGTATGATTGTTATTGCTTTGCAAATCCTGTAATACTTTACAATTGCTCGAATTCGAGCAACATGTACACTAGTTAATATTAAAAACCTGTTTGATTAGTTAGGGTTACAGATAAATTAAGATAGGCTACTTAATAACGTTTACTATTAAATTAAAACTGAATAAAAAGAAAATATATCTGGCCATGGGGTAAAAGTCCGGGGGTATAATTCCGGCCCGTACACTCTAGGTTTTTATAATTTGATGCGTTCTGATTAAATTCACAACCGTAAAAATATGCGTTTAGTTTCACCTTTAATCCATCAAACTGATGTTGTGCAACTCGAAAGTTCGCGGCCGGAATTTTACCACCTGGTTTGTGACGTCAGTTTTGCCCAGGGGTAAAATTCCAGGGGGATAAAAATCCGCTACACCGATTCGTTCACTTCGTTCACTCATCTATCAACAGATAAACTTTTATTTAACTAAAGTGTGAGTTAAGTAAACGAGGACTCCAATGTATGAATCTTAGTACTATTAGTTTTAATCTAATAGAGAAGACTTATACTTCTATACAATTTACTGAGGCGATGGGATGGTAGAAAATGAGTGATATGAATTCGAACGGACCAATCAGAGGTACTCTTTGTTGACCTCTGGGCGAGCTGGTCTAGTGGAAGAGTGTGGATCTTCGGAGCCCCAGGTCTCAGGTTCAAATCCCGCCAATCACCAATCGACTTTATACATATGGTAATGCCGCAACCCTCTAGAACTACCCTGAGAAGATGTGAAATAGTTCTGGGCTAGAACCTAGCGTTTTTGGATGTGAAGGTGGACATATCTACCACCAATATTCCCACTTTAGTGTAGCAAGAATCCCTAATAGTGTAGCATATTGTTGGAAAGCTTATAAAATGACGCAGTTTTTAACATATTCCAACACTTTCTTGTATACAGGGTGGGAAAAATGCAATAGACCATTGTTTTTTTTTTAATTATTATCAAACATCTTAATTTTTATCTTTGAATCTATTTACAATGGAGTTTTTTCAACTGATCCTCCATCATTTATCCATTATTCTTGTTCAAAATTTAATGTAGAACACGAAAATGACATTATCTACTCAAATCCATATACAGGTAATTGAGAAATCGCTGTACTAAGTTTAAAAGCATGGTTATTTTTTTAAAACATGAAATAATTTTTTGGGAAGCTAATTTTTAGACTTGGAACATTTGATATGCATCATCACACTTCATTTACTTTGTACTTACACCAAAAATGTTGGTCACACTGAGTACCAATCACCCTGTATAGATAGCAGTAATGAGCTGATGGAGTAATTCATAAACAATTTGGTCTCTATTCATAAGTTTGTATCTTAGTAAAACCAGTAGGTCTGAAACATTAGCTTTCAAGTAGCGTTAACTTACCCTTGAATGAAGGGTTTTTATCCAGCAAGACCCCTTCCTGAAAAAAAAACATATAGCATTGTATGAGAGATACGGTAGGTCACGCAGTGAAGGTCTTTAAATAAACCTACCTGAGTAAGCCTACAACCTTTAGCTCGCTTGATGTACAGTACGTGTGTGACCATGGTCGTAAAACTGTATATAAATATGTGTTTCGTGAACTGTGTTAATATGTTTTGTAAATTGTTACAACCACTTCTGTGGGCAATGTTGAGACCTGTGACAGCGACTGAAGATGCAAACGCGTCTCGCAGGAGATAAGAATTTTGGACACCTTAGGCTACCAAAAAGGTAAAAATATTGATTTTAAATAAACATTGTTCATCGGTGTTTTACTGTTATACGAGTATGTTAGTAAAAAAACTAAACCCAGAGAAAGATTTTACTTACGATTGACTTAAGAACAGGTATAGCATAACAATATTGAAATTATCAAGGTTAGGACCATTACTGTATATTGTAATGGTCAGTATGTGCATTAGTCAGTATTTATATATTTAATTACGTTAGCCGATTCTTTGCGTCAGAATTGTGGGAAGTCGTAGAACGACGAAAAAGATTTTAAATTAAAGGTCCCTATCCCGTAATGGCGAGAAAAATAGTGAAATTCCAAAATTTTTAACACAAAATAAGATATACGTAATTGGACTTAGAATGGCTGAAAAATAATGAAGTTTCAAATATTTTAACGGAAAATTTAATAAAGAGTATAATAATTTTAATAATTTACCTGATTAAAACACTTTGTTTTTTATTTTAAAACATATGTTCGCGAAGTTAACAATAGTTATTTGTGTAACTAGTGAGCAAAGTGCAGCAAAAGCCTTTTGCACTCGTGTTACACATTATATTTTTCCTACAGTCACTATAAAGCATATAAATAATTAGTCTTTCAAACACTATACAGCACGTTTTTAGGTTCAGCTGCAACACAAATAGGTGCCCTAGAGAAAGTAGTCCCCGGTCCGAATCGCTCCGCTATTTTTTCCTCGGCAAGCAATGAGCTCCGCAACTTGAGAAAATAGTACCGAATATTTTTGTAATTTGCAGTGGTTTCCGCGCCTTAAAAAATGCTTTAAAGGTATTTTCTTGTGTATTAAGATCGTAAGAATGTTTTAAAAACGATTAAAAGAAAAGTCCAGAAAGTTCAGAAATTCTGAAAAGAGAACATAAACTATAAACACGAAATGACAGGTTAAATCGTAGTTATAATAGTCAATCAGCTGCTCATAGTATTATTATCTTTAAGTGTTGCCAACCTATTTCCAAGCGTACACGGATTACGTGCATAATAGAACCACGCTTATTTGTGTTGTTTCGTTGGAATCCTGATGTGCGCCAAAGCATAAACCGTACGACAAAGTATAAACCGTACGACAAAGTATAAACCGTATGACAAAGTATAAACCGTACGACAAAGTATAAATATGCAGCAATTAGCAGCTTTCTGTACTATAAACAGTACAAGAAAGCCAACTTTGTCGGGCGACAGTAGGAAAAATTATTTTACTTTTTTACATTACTTCACATTTAAAGGTTATTGTTGTGTTGAAGGAATGTTAAACAAAATAACCACACTGACTAAATAATCAACGTTTCAAAATTAAATGGAACCCGTCTGCTTTGTTTTTATTTCAAAAGATATGTTGGCGATGAATTCTAAACCTTTTTGTAACATTTAACTTGACGCTTATTGTAGTGTTTAATTAATTGGTTAATTTTGTATGAAGTGGAATAACCGTAATGGCTACTCTAAGAAAATAACCTGGGAATAAAGATGAAATAGGTTCGTACAGGCAATAATGTTTTACTAAGTAATTAATATGACACGTTCCAATGGGCGGAAAAATAATACTGTCTGGAGGAGAGTATAATCAGGTGAGGAACTGCCTGTTGTTCTAAGGGAAAAAGTTTGAAATAATATAGCCTAGCATGAATAGTATAGATTGCAAAGGGAGCATCTATATATAACAGTAAACCTAGAGTTAGTTTCCATTTCTTTAATATGCATGTCAATGCTGATGAAAAGTAATTTCGTGATTTGTTTCGATGACTGGGTAATGGAACCCCCACCAGTGACAAAATATTTAAGCCAATCAAACAAAATGATAACTAAAAATAGGCTTTACATTCGTCATACCAGCTCAAATGGTGTAACTACGTGTGTTACGGCCGTTTCGGCAATACGACAGTCGGCACCTTGCTCGGAACGGGAACATGTCAACCTGTTGCATTTAGTACGACAGGCTGATAGTTTTTGTGAAATGTGTAAATTTAATTCGTATTGCTCTTGAGTGTTATGTGTTTTAACATAGATAAAACAGGGACTATGTATTATGTATGGTTTTAACTTCAACGACGCTACTTCAGCCGAGATTTCGATGTCTGACGATGGCATTGTAATGCCAAAACAGCCGTAACCAACGTAGTTACATAATTTGAGCAGGATTGACGGATAAAGCCTATGTTTGGTTACGATACAGCTCAAAGGCCAAACATGGATTTTAATTCCAAATAATAATGTATCCATTAAATGAAAAATGTATACTATTCACAATTACATAAAAAAAGCGGACGAATAAGCAAATGAATAACTCAGTGTGGTCTTAACTGTGAATCCGATGAACGTTTAAATATGCCTATTTTGATAGAATATGTAAATTCAAACGCATTTTTAGGAGTAATACCACCACATAATTTTAAACTAAGTGTAGTTTCTATTTTTATGTTGATCAGAAACAAATCCAGGATTAAATTTGGTCAATAGGATACCTTTTCATTAATTTACAAAAGGAGTTTACCGAGAACTACTGGACTGTAAGCTTATCTCAACACACCTTTTTACTATGCCTTTTCAAATTTCACCAAGATGGTTTCCGAAATTCCTTACAGGTAAGCTTTTTTTGTTATCTTTTAAAATTAGACAAAAAATAACTTAGTAAACCAGTATTTTATTCACAAACAATTATATGTTTGCTGCCTTCAACACTTAAGACTTAGGAGAGGAACCTCTGATTCAAATTATTTATTGAAAATAACATTAACAAAGCAAACAAAGAGACTGTTTTCACACAAAAGATAAGGTGTACAGTATTCATCATAACACATACATAATTTGATACTGAGCTTGTCAAATATTACAATATTTGTTTAACATTTGAGCTTTTTAGGGACTTATGTTCCTAAAAGCCAATAGTGCAAATTTAATGTCATAAAGGTGTTAATATAATTTAGTGTGATCAATGTATTTTCCTAGTAAAAAAGGTAAACTTACCTGCTAAACCTGGTAAACTTATCTGATGAATAGCTATTGGAAAGTATAAGTGTCACTTTCGATGGCAAGCATTGACTAGTAACAAGGACTAAGAGTATTTTGAAGCCATCTAATACTTTTTTACAAAGTGTGATTAAGTAACTATCCGTCTGTAAAGCTTGTTTGATGTAACGAACACATCAGAGTACTAAGTATGGCTTATGAATTTATAGCCTTTTTAACATAATTCAAAGAGGTGAATATGGAGTTCCATAACTATTTTACAAAAAGTACTCAAATTATGTTGAATTTAAAATGGTCGTGGTTCGAAAACAAACATGGCTCTGAATCAGCTCTACATAGTTAAGTAAAGTTTTTGACCCTCCTTTAAAGGATTTCTTAAGAATGCATGTATTTTAAAGTCTACAAGAAGGACCTGAAATAGTTATTTGTGTAACTAGTGTGCAAAGTAGCACTTTGCTGCACACTAGAGAAATGTTTACGCATGAGCTTCCTAACTAAAGCTGTAACTGTATTGTAGGAAAGAAAAAAAATTATATTTGTAAAATAATACTATATTATTCTTAATGGTAAAATAAAGTTTGTTGGAACCTATCGAAAATTTAAACAAAAAATAAATTTTTAAATGGTTATTTCTCATATTTTTACTCTAAATATTATAGCTTTAGGATAAATTAAATTGTCAAAATACCGTTATGATTTTCTATGTAATGTAATATCCTAAGATTCTAGGTCATTTTGCAATATTAAGGTACTTAATGTTATTGTCGTACCTTGATTGATTCAAACCCTCCTGGGTTGGCAGCATATTTCAAGAATACCTGGTCCGAGTCCTGACACTTCTCTACACAAATATCGTACTGGCACCACTTGACAGTGTCAACTCTACTTCTAAAAGACAAAATGTTCTCTGACCCGTCTTTGAATGTGAACATGTACACTTTTTCATGTAAAGGGCGATTAGATTCAGGAGCGCAGTCGAAATCATCGAATGCGGCTAAAAATACAATGTTATCCTCAAAAGGCAGTTTTTCACGGTATCGATTTTCGGCATTACTTTCTTTCCGTTCTGCTATCGTCAATATGTATTTGGCGTCTTTATCATTTTTACGATAGCATTGAAGTATAAACGTTTGTAGTTCTTCCTCCTTTTCTTTCTTGACATCAACTGAGTATGTAGATACAAGGGTTTTACTAATTGTTTCTACTTTTAGAGAGCTTGTAATTATGTTGGCCCCTAGAAATATATTCGTAAATGAATTATTAGTTTCTAAAAATAAAAGTGCTTAGTCGCTTTACTACCATCAGTGATACAGTAATAATATTAACTAGGTGAAACCCGTCAAAATCGACGGTTACTTTTAAGGCTTACGCTAATTCATCTAACTGCGATAAATTGAGTGAAATCTTACTAATTTTATAAATGTGAATGTTAGTGTGTTTGTTTGTTTGTTTGTTTGTGTGTTTGAAGTTCAATCACGCATAAACCACTGGACAGATTGGGCTGAAATTGGACATGACGATAGCATACATTCCCGATTAACAGATAGGCATATTCTTATCTAAAAAATTCTTTCGGGCTCCACCCCAGTGGCTCTGTTAACCTTATGAGTATTCATATTTAAAGGGAATTAAAGAATTTAGTCAGCTGTTTCAACTAAAAAAAGTTGGTTCTATGATATGGAAAAGCATTAAAAAGTTATAAGATTTACCAACAAGGTGCAGCACTATATTTTTTTGCATTTGTGAAACAGCTAATTTGAACTAAGCATTAACAAAAAACTGTGATTCGCAATGAGAACTGTCAAAGTAGGATTGTTTACAGTTATGTTTATGTTTTTCATTTCATGAATAATTTGTGATATTTTGCGAATTGTTGATAATTTATTTTTCTCTATTGTTTAGGTGAAGTGGTAGAACATTATGGCTATGGTAGATGTGTAATACTATAGAATACTGTAAATTTAAATAAGTTAATGATTGTATAATTATTATGTAAATACCACGAGTTGTATTATGCCGTTGGGAAATAAAATATTTTTATTTTTCTATCTATAATATTAAAACGTAACAGGGTTTTTTTATTTCACGATTCTGAATCAACCACTCGACGGATTTTCATGATTTTTGTGTTGAAAGAAAGATAATTTTGAGAACTAGGTAATGTCGAAGCCATAATTTTAGTTTAGGGTCCCAGTTATTTTGAAATTAGATTTTAATTTTTTATTTAATTTTAAGTCTAGCAGCCGACGCTAGAATTCTAATCTAGCTTTTGGTATAATATAATTTGCTTAACATAACAGCTGTAAACAGTCAGCGTTTGTAACACAAATTCAGAACTTGGATCAAATTAAAAGACATACTAAGGGTTGACTTATTTATACTAAGTGTAATGCTAATCATTGATACGTCCAATCCTTCGATAAGAGGATGACGGATTATTTAAATAGGTATACATAGTAAAATACTAGGATGTTCAAATAATTTTTTGTAAGTAATCTTTGTAATCTTCGGATTGTTTAAGTGCAATGTAATTTGTAACTAACAGCTGGTTAATTATAAAAATGCCCTATAGAACTATGAGGTTATTTACTCAGATTTTGTCATTGATAGGAAATAAGTAAGATTAGTAGACCACTAAGATAAGTAACACTATCGATGTGTACAAGTCGAGGCTCTGTACACGAGTAAAAAAAAAGTAATATGCAAATTATTTTACCCCTCAACTTTTATGGAAAGGGTAGGAAAATCACAATTTTTACATGTTTTAATTAATCTTGGCAGCTTTTTGTTTACAATCAATGTTTTTGAATGCTTGAACTTTGTTTGGATTAGGCCGGAAATATAGATGTCATAAAGATGGAGATCAAGAATCCTCAGGAATACGATTTTAAATTACCACCACAACCTCAAACGGGTTTTATTTAAAGATATACAGATGAATGACATAGATTGAACACAACGTCATCATTGACCTAGGATACTGCAATTAGACTAACCATCCTTTTATGAAATCTAAAAAGTTATTTGGAGTGTGTTTAGTTGTGGTTACGTTTGTAGGCGCTGAATATTTTATAGTTTAAATAAATGAATATGGGGAATTACGATGGACATTGATTCAATGAGGGTGGTTTGATTATCAATAGACAATTAATTACGTCACTAGCTTTACTAGCGTTTTTACTTTATAAATTCCTTCAACATGTGACCAGTTCTTTTGTCGAAATGAATATTATTTTATTTTTGACTCAGCTGTTTACAAAACAAACTAATATGTTGTTGTGTTTACTTTTCTTTGTTTACACTTATTTATTTAGCAATTGATGCAGTGAAATTGACATAAAAGATGTCTGTGGACGATTCGTTTAATGATGTCAGGACACCAACGTTATAATTATATGTACTGTGAATTTTATTGGATGTTTTCGTTTTATTTCAGTTTCAATTCAGACCTACTGGAAATTGTGTATAGTATGAGCAATTGTATTGTGATGATATTGATTATGGAAGAGACAGGTATGCGATGGAAGGTGATATCATTGACTAGGTCTATACACTTCTCAATTGATAATTACTCTTTTTACTGTAGGCTGCAATAAAATTTGTCTTTATACGTGTAAACTAGCTGTTCTGAATTATAGGCCTACGCAGTTTTAACTGACTATACGTAAGACGTACGTAAGACGGGCTAACACCTCGTTTCATTTCATTTCATTTCACATTACTGCTATCAGTGAAACAGTACTACTATCAGTGAAACAGTAATACCATAAGTGATACAATACTAGTGATAAAGTAATACTATCAGTGATACAGTACTTCTATCAGTTATATGGTACTTAATACTATCAGTTATACGGTAATACTATCAGTGATACAGTAATACTATTAGTTATACAGTAATACTATCAGTTATAAAGTAATACTATCAGTTACAGTAATACTGTCAGTTATACAGTATATAAATAAGTATTCAGGGTGAGTTTTAATTGTCCCCCCCAACTTTTTTCTACATTTTTTCAAATATCAATCCCAGACCACTTCCAAACATTGTTGGGTAGTAAGTACTTCATTTTGACAAGGTGGTCATTTCCGGCCGCCATCTTGGATCCGCCATATTGGATGCAAAATATTTTTTTCAAATGTAAAGGTGGGGTTGTGACCCATTATTTCGAACTAGAGTTTTACCCTGATTACAATACAGCAAACAGTTTTTAAAAATCTCGATTTATTCTAAAGTTATGAGGCCTTTTTAAAACTTTATTTTTAGCCCATTTTAACATTGTGCTTGTACAAACTAAGACCATAATCTCAAAATAGTGCTAGATAAAGATAAGTATACACTACCAGTCATTGCCAACCTATTTCTACTTGATTATGAATGATGTATTTTTTTCGGCCGCCATCTTGTACTTTTGTCTGATACTTTTTTAAGCTGAACTCAATTCCATGGTCCATTTTTATTTCATATTTTGATTTTGAAATATTAACATTTTTAACAAAAATATCGCAATGTTTTATAAATAAAACTTCATAACAAAAAATGGATTAAGGCATTGAGTTTAGCTTAAAAAAGTAGTTCAAAATGATGGGTCACAACACACCCTTCATATTTAAAATAATTTATCCCATTTCAAAATGGCGGATCCAAGATGGCGGCCGAAAAAAATACATCAGTCATAAATAAGTGAAAATAGGTTTACAATAACTGGTAGTGTATACTTATCTTTATCTAGCACTATTTTGAGATTATGGTCTTAGTTTGTAAATGCACGATGTTAAAATGGGCTGAAAATAAAGTTTTAAAAAGGCCTCATAACTTGAGAATGAATCAAGATTTTTAAAAACGGTTTGTGGTATTGTAATCAGGGTAAAAATCTAGTTCGAAATATTGTGTCACAACCCCACCTTTACATTTGAAAAAAATATTTTGCATCCAATATGGCGATCCAAGATGGCGCTTAGAAATCACCACCTTGTCAAAATGAAGTACTTACTACCCAACAATGTTTGGAAGTGGTCTGGGATTGATATTTGAAAAATGTAGAAAAAAGTTTGGGGGGGGGGACAATTTAAACTCACCCTGTATACACGATTGGTATATACACTATTCCGTCGTGTCCGCCGTGCTACCTGCGTCAGTGTGTCCCTTATAAATGTGGCCAGCTACCACCATTAAATGTCTTTTGTGTTAAAAATGTGTAAACTTTATGTGTCGTCGTGTTGTATCTCATAACGAAGACTTCTGTTGGATTTATGGAAGAACCAATTTGATGACATAAGTTTGAAAACGGGTCATTTCTGACCCGAAACTAGTCACCCTTGAATATTTTAAGGACTGGAGACGGAATAAAAAGGTACGTAATATATACGTAAAAAGGTACGTAATAATATGGTTTGATTGTCAAAATATACACTCACGTAAACGTGTGATTACTTGAAACCTCTACCTTTATTTTTGTCTGTTTGAAAAAAAATAGTCCTATATTATAAGCTATCGTAGTGTGGCAGTAAAATAAACTAGTGTACCTGTTACTCGAATTCGAGCAATTGAGAAGTATTACAAACGTATAAAGTATTGAACGTATGAAGTATTTAAAACGAATGACAGTCATAATTTCTGATGACTTTAAAAGAGTCGACTCAAGGGTTATGGAAATACTCACGATTTACATAACAGTTCGATATAATGATAGTTTCTTGCAAATATCTTATCATTTTTCAAAAGCTGGTCTTGTTTTTTAGTGTTTTCTAAAAATGTTTCCCACTCATAGCTGCATTAGGTTGTCCATAATAACGAGTATAAATGTAAATAAAAAAACATTTCTATTTCTTCTACTTGATGGTGTTCTATGACTTTCCTATGTTCCCATAGTTTGCAAATCGGCTCAAGAAATGCAGCGTGTTAATTCATTTTTCTTTTTAGAATATCAAATTGTCAAAGCTTTCTCGATATTAACAGCAATCAAATTATCCATCTGATCATAATGTAAACAAATATGTACTTCATAAGGATAACATGGGAACTTTAAAAGCCACTGGGGCAGAGCCCATGGGACTTTTTCAACCATGTAGGTTCAGTTTGCAAATCTACATCTACACACCTATACAAACATTTTGGTATACTGTATAATATGTGGGGTTTAATCTTAAAACAAATAAGTCTTATTGTTTACAAAGTTTCATGTAGCGTTTTAATGATATGGATTAAGTAGACACAGATCCCGAACTAAAACTGTTAAGTACGTAGTATATGGTAATATACAGTTTGCAAAACTACAATTTCGCATGTATGAAGTATCTAGTTTTCGGAACTTACGTGAAACGCTGGGACACTCTGCTTGAGAACCCTGAAAATGTTATAGTTTGAATTAAATTGGTAATGGACATATAATAAAAGAAAACAATTTGTATTTAGTTAATACTCTGTAACGTTATTTGAAACATTTGGTATTCTATTATTATTTTAAAACTGAAAGAAATTGCATGTGCATAATTTTAAATTGAGCTTAGTGACTGTTAACTTAGTTCTTCTTTAACTTCTTCTTTAACTAAGTTCTTCTTTAACTATGCGAAATTAATTGACAATTAATTAAATTAATTAAATTAAATTAATTGATTTAATTGACAGGTAAAGCTCTCCCAAAACACTTAATGCTTTTTACCATGCGGTTGGCATTCTGGGTTATAGTAGTATGTTTTCTGTGCTTTCAGCCACCAATTAACGTATGTAAAACAGCTAAAACCATCATAGTGTGGTGAAAAAATCATTTTTCCTACAGTTACCTAACAATGTACATGTTCTCTCACTGATTTGAGAAAGCAAAGTGGCCAATTCGCTCATCAGTGAGACAGTTAACATTGTCTCACTCCAGATTTGCAACGTGAAGGCACGAAATAGTGAGCGCGTAACATGCAGGCAACGTCGTATGCGCGCGAAATACGTTTGGCAGCACTGGCTGTAAATCAGCTGGTCAGCTGTTGTACTGTTGTATTTGTCACTTCACATTAAATGTTATATTAAAAGTTCACTTCTGTGTAAAAATAGGTTATGTTTTTTCACCAATTTATTTGTTTTATGGTAACTGTAGGAAAAGTATAATGTGCAACTCGAGTTCAAAGTACAATTGCCTTACTCGAGAAACCATTCCTCACTCACCTACGGCTCGTGAGTAAGGATTTCTCTCGAGTGAGTCAATTGCTCACTTTTCTCACTAGTTGCACAAATAACTATTTAGCCCCTAGGGAGTAAAAATTAGCTGTTGTTAACTCATTTGTAAATTTCAATTGTAAACAGAATTGCATGTATCGAAAGTATGTTTATATTGTATAATCGATTGTAGTTAACTGTTGCCTTAGTGTAAATAGTTTGACATATTGATAGTATAATGTACAATAACACAATCGTAATAGACAAAACTATTGAATCACTTTTTAAACAGCTGCGTGTTACCGATACAGTACAAATAAAATTGTAAACTAGTTAGAAGTAGTTTTGCGAGAATAAATGAAAACTATTTAAGTTTTTTAGCACAGTGTGTTCAAATAATGGTGCAATATGACGAAAAATATAGTTCAACACATGGGGAAAAAAGGGTACCTCGTCTTCGCCTCGATCGTAAAACTTGAGGTCGGGTCGAAAAGAGTCACTTTGACCCTAGTGATGAAATATACTATTTTGGTACCTAATCTTATTTCCAAACGAGGCACATTGCGTACCAAAAGGAGCTACGTTCACTCCTAGTGATGAAATATACTATATGTAAGTGTGTACTTACCATGTACCATCGAGAGAGCAAGACGCTTGGATCTCGTTCGCCTTCTAGTTTAATGTCTTTATCTTTTTCACGTGGAATTGCATAGTAACACCAAGATGAAGTGGGGGATGGTCTACTTCCAATAATGATGTCACCGGAGCCTTTATCTTCGTCAGCAAGAAACATGTCATCTATTTTGTTGACCGATGCACAGTCCAAATCGATTTTAATTTCGTAACTGTTTATACTGAGGATAGCGTGTGGTTTCTTTAACGCGTTTTCATAACAGCTCAGTTGAAAAGGATTCGATCTTCCGTTGTAATATGTAGCTTTTACTCTACCGGTAGATATTCCTTCCAATCTAGATATGTCTCTTGCTGAAAAATATGTTAGATTAATGTATTTCAACTTAATGATCGAATACAAATAACTGATATGATTCTTAAATAACAGTGGAAAGTCCTACGTAAAGTACATTTAGCCAGTAAAAGAATGTTTGTCTTACATGAAATTGCTTCGTCAAAGCCTTTTCTGTTGAAGTGCATATTGGGGGGAGGGAGGGGGAGGGAGGTGGTTAAAATGCGTTTACGGGTATGTAAAGTGAGTGATTCAATGTATTCTCAGTAGTGCCGGAATCCCTTGCCGTCCCTGGGACGTCGACTACAGGCTAAAACCCCCCCATCTCGTAGGACCCTAGCCTGGAACTATTTAGCACAATAATTTGAGCCTTTTGAACCCTGCCATTATTACTTTCCTTCTTATTTTTTTCCGAAGGCTAAGGCCGATCGATATCGATCTTCTTAGCCGGAAGTATAGCCTCGATGAACATTTACACAGTTTCAGTATTACAGTTTCAGGTGCCCTCTCCATGGAGCACAGCTCCAACTAATATCGAGAGTAATGTCGAAGCCGATTTTCGAGATCAAATAGGCTCGGTGGACATGCCACCTATCACAAAAGAAGAAGGTTTGTTCGGCCGTGTCTGCAATGCTGAGACAGTACAGACAGTCTGAGCTAGCGGTTTTCCCTTATTCTGTGCAAAAAGGCCACGAAGTACCTGTGGCCCGACAAAAACTGGAACACAAAATACCCAACCTCACGATGCTCCCGTTCCACCCATGTTAAGAGGCTGGGAATGAGCCTGGTGGCCCAACGTCCCTAGTCTCGGCGTCCCATTCGCGTTGCCAGAGGTTGAAACTGCGGTCTCGTTCTTCTGTAGCTGTAATCTCTCTGCCTACTTCAGGTCTTCTGCGGTAGATCACCTGTCGCTCCTTTGAAAAATGGAAGTCGTTGATCGGAGCACTGCCAATCTCCATGACTGCAGGCTCAGAGACCGTGCGGTAGGTAAAAGCAACTCGCAAGGCCCCTCACAGCTAAACGTGGGAAATCCATTTACTGAAGACACGCCTCTCCAGCACATGGGCCCTGGCCTCAGCACCGTACAAGAGCACTGATTAGACAACAGCCATCTGTAGGTGATGTTTGTAGGAACAGGAACCGCCAGCGTTTGGCATTGGCATACTAAAGGCAGCGAATCCTCTTCTTGGTTAGGACCACGATCTCGGCCATTTCGACCACCATCTACAAGCTGTGGTCCTGCATCCATTCGTTGATATTGAGCATCACTACACACGGGTTTTAACTCTGCCTCTTTGACGTTGGTGACTGCAAACCGAGCAGTGACGTCATCAGCGTAGCCAAAGAGGAAGGCATTTCAAGTCTTAGCTGACACTCTTAAGACAGGTTCCAGAGATTGGGTCCCAGGATCGATCCCTGTGCAGCCCCAGAAGTGATAGATATCAAATGCTGACATTCAGTGATGTGATAAAACAAAACATGGTAGGAAGGTAGGACTCGAAGATTCGGGGGATGTAGAGAGGAATGCAGAACGTATGCTCGAGCGCGCGCAGCATAACAGAGGAGTTAAACGCGTTCCTCACGTCAAGAGTGACGAGGTACTACCACCTCCGCACTCTGAGTGGGTGGGCCTCCGCACTCTGCATTGCCTCAACTACCTCTGGATGGCACCAATCAAGTGACCGAAAGGAAACCCATGCTTCTGCGGGGAAAAATCACCCGCAGAGACGTTAGCCTCAGTCTGACACGAATTAGCTTCTCTATCACTTTGCCAGTGGTGTGACGCATAGACATTGAGAAGAAAGAAGAGAGGCCTTCTCCGGTGCACAATTCACCTTGGGAATCAAGACAAGGTAGACCACGGAAAAACGACGCTGACGGAAAATGCTGTTTGCCAAGCATCATTGAACATATCCAAATGTATGTTTGCAACGTAATTAACGATGAGCTTGAGGATTTCCGCAGGAATGCCATAAGCCAGGTGCTCTACGATCTCTCAGTGATTGGACATTGGAGGAAAGTTCCTCTTCCCGAAAGGCTGGGAACACGCCCAAATCCCCGAATTTCCTTTAACTGGAATAATTTCATATTGTAAATAATAATTTTTATTGTTAAGAAATAAACATGTATCAAGAGTTGTGATCATATATTTTTTATTAATTTTCATTTAATACAGGGGATACTTCTAATCTAATGACATAGCCGCACGACTATTAAGATATTTTAAAAGTGGCAAAATATAATAATATAACCCTACGGAAACGAAGCATGAGGGAATGGCGAGAGAGTTAAGAGAGACACTGGTGAGTACAAGTTATTGGCTAAAGTAAGAATAATTTTAACAAAAACAAATTTGATTAAATAAACTTACTTATTGCCAGACCTAACATAAAGAATATACTGCCGTACTGTAGATAATATTTGTTCAAACTTACATTTTATTGCACGGCATTCTCTCTCCTGAAACATAGGTTTACATTAGATTGTCAAATGAAGTACACTCCGTTCTTAATAACGTAAAAACGTATTTAAAATTATCCACTTACTCCCTCTATACATAGTATATTATGGAAAAAGTATTGTTTTGTCAACATTTTCGAGAGTTTTAGGGGGATATATACGTTTTGGGTCGGTCCCTCTGAACCCGAAAAAGTGGTTTTGGAAGTAGTGTGTGTGTGTGTTCTGGTGTTTGTGTATGTGTGTAGTGTCTGTATGGGTGAATGGGTACAGAGCTACAAATCACACCTGTGGTACCCGATTTTGATTAAATTTTGTATGTAGGTAATAATCCGTAGTACCCCTTGTTGGTCTTATACTTATTTGCATTTTTTTCTTTTTATGGTGATTTTCATATTAAAACCCATTACAGTATATACAGAACAAATTGGATTTTCAAACACGACCTACACGATTTTAATTCAAATGTAGTATGTAATATCGTCTTTTTAATTTCAAATAAAACAGCGCAACCCCCATTAATGTAAAAGTTACGGCTCAAAAGTTATGAAAACTTTTGTGAAATGCTCCATAAAATGTCATAGTTACTCCCACAGCTTAATCATGCAGGCTTGTTAACAAACTAATGAGAGAAAGTATATGTCAGACTTCTGACACCATTTCTTATTAGAGAATAATGTTTTTAATTTTATTGAGGAAAAATATTTATAACACTTAGAATAAGAGCAACGCAAATATGCTTCCAATAGTTTGAACATTCTTTAATCACAAAGCATTTTTAAGTAGTGCTTGTATTCATTATTAAAATATAGTTTTATTAGTTGTGTACATAGCATAAATGTTGTTAAATTTCTTAGAGGAACTGAATGTCGTCACATTTACTGTGATGTAAAAACGACTAACAAGGAATTAGGGTGTTAGGGGTTTCTTATGGTTATTTTAATAAAACTTAGCGATATAAAAAATGATAACTATTACAATATGGACAGCAGTATACTACAAAAATAGCAGTTAGAAATGCACGTGCTAAAGATTTTACACCATGACATGCTAAATGTATTTTCTAATTTCTAACTAAGATCCTAAAAAATTCATACTCCTAATCATTTGGCAATGGATAATCATCACTAACTTAAATTCAAAAACAATATCATTAAATCGTGTTATACCTTTTTCGTTTATTAAAACAATTTTTAAATTATTTTTGATATATTTGCAAATAAAAAAATAACTATTATTATTTATAGATTTAAAAAAATCTTGTAATTGCAGCGCTGGTTGAAATGTATAAAAAAACACTAATATTTTACCTAAACGATATACTTTTACTATGGTCTATCAGATCACATATATCCACTTCAGCACGAATAGGATTGTAAGTTTATACAAAACTTAACTAAGTTATGTGAATCTTTTCTTCTAAAAAAACAAAAATAATTGAGTGTTATTTACCTCAATCCATTTAATAGACTCTCGGAGTTTGTCATAGTATTCCGGTGCGATGACGTTGGGTACATAGACTTTGTAGACACACCAAGGATGTTCCAGTTTCAAAAGTCTGCCGTTTTGACGGGACTCCGGTAAGGTTGCATATACCCTCATCACATTCGGGTATGGATGTTCGAAAAGAAACATGGAATTCACATCCTTAGAATACGAACAATCTAATCCTTTAATAGATATTATAAATCGGTTTGATTGTCTTATGACCAATATATGTTCCTTTCCTTCACTTTTATAGCAATATATATTATAGCCATTTGGCTCACTGATGTATCTGGCGACTAGTTTATCTTTCTGTACTGCTAACTTGTTTTCTTCTACGTATATATCATCAGCTGAAACAGTATGATAACCGTTAGGTACTGACGAAGAGACAACACTCTGTGATAAGTTTCAAAGATTGTAAGACTGTTTTTTGTTCGAAGTGGAAATAGAGTTAACGTAATGCAAATATTACACACATACATAACAAGAAGCATCCTTAAATACAGGGTGTCCATAAAAAACGTATCAGAACTTTGGGAAATGAATCATCATACTAAAAGGAAGAAAAAAGTTTATGTGAAGGTATGACCGAAAATGCATATTTACCCTGTTATCCGCCATTTTGTTTTTTATACAAAAATATTTTTATCTGTGAAGTTTTTCATTCGATGATTATGAAATTTGGTTACCATGTTAACATATACAAGACCTATTATAGAAAAAAATAATAAAGTTGTTCCGATTGTAAATTTCAAAATGGCGGCCGTTTGAATTCTTATAACTTAAATAACTCAAAAACGGCTAATTTTATGAAAAAATTTCAAGAATACTTTTGTTGGCATTTTAAATTCCCTATCAAACGGAACCAAGATCAAAAAGGTCGGACAAAAGACAACTGAAATAAAAGGTTTTTTAGCTGTAAGACAAGGCCAAAGGGTTCCCCAACTAACTTTGCCTTTATTTTTACACAAAAAAACGTTATATTTCAGTTATCTTTAGTCCGATCTTTTTTATCTTGTTATTGTTTGATAGGGAATTGAAAGTGCTAAAAAAAGTATATTATAAAATTTTTTCATAAAATTGACCGTTTTCAAGCTATTTAAGTTATAAAAATTCAAACGGCCGCCATATTGAAATTTACAGTCGGAACAACTTGATTATTTTTTCTGTAATAGGTCTTGTGTATGTTAACATGGTTACTAAATTTCATAATCATCGAATGAAAAACTTCACAGAAAAAAATATTTTTGTATAAAAAACAATTTTTTTTAAAAGAGGTTGGCGGCCTCTTTTAACCTTGCATTTTCCCGTCCACATAGACTACAGATCTGTGCGTGGAACGCATCCAGCAAAGCAAGGGGTGAGCCGGAACAGTACAAAGGTGAACCGTACTGATAAAAGTTAGTGGCAGTGACCAGGATCCGAACCCACGACACTACTGACTTGGGCCCGAAGTCCGCGACGCTACCGACTGAGCCACCGACTCACCCGCGTGAAGTTGGCCCCACCATAATGAGCACAAATTATAAAAACATGTCCATAATTTAGTGCTGAATTTGTGCTTCTCAAAGGTATATATAAAAAAAAAATGTGCTCAACAATAACACACCAAAAAATTATAAAAACTGTTGGCGGGGCTAACTTCACGTTCAGCCCGCCACCAAAAGAATTAACAATGTATCATACATAGGCCCGATTTCACCAAATTCTCGCTAACGATGGTTTAGTTAAACTTAGGTTAAAACTAACCGATGATTTAAACCACAGTTAAGGAAATCTGGTTTAACCAACGAAAACGCGTCAAAACTAACGCTGGTTTTATAAACGAGAGTTTAGAGTAAAATCCAGGTGGCAGTGGCAGTGAACTGTCATAATACCGGGCTGTTACGGGAGCAAGTAAACATAACCTAGAAAATAAATCAGTGTTTATGAGGTAGTGAAAACAAAACTGGAGATAGCAAGCTTACAGGAATACAATAGATTCTGAGCAAAATAACAACAGAAAGCAAGAATAAATACCAAAACAATTAACATAAGTAATTAAAGGCAAATCAATGTTGATCAAACACATTCGAGGAACAAATTGGTTGAGTTTTGCGGTCGAGTCAAGACTCACCAATCCAACTTTTTACAGGGATGTTCAATATTCTGTTTGTTCGCTAACCAGTTTGGTACATTTGAAGTAGTGTTAAAAACTGGAGTCAAAAGAATTACAAGAACGAGACACAATGTAGATAACACCAAAATAATTATTTTCTATAAAATACTAGCAGAATAATGACAATTTAGGTTTAGATTTTGGTTTACTTAATACCTTAATACCTGCTGCGACGTCGTTGACCAGAATTTCTGGATAGACTGTGTCATAAACTAAAAAATAATATTTACACTATTTACAATACTTTTGGCAAGATGGCGTTGAGCCTATACTCGATGGAACGCATCAAAATACTCGTCAACTGAGTACAGTGGTCGGTCGACTAGCCAGGCTTTAACTTTCTTTTTAAAAGTGGGCGGTTCACAAGACTTAAATCTTTGGGGGAGACTGTTGTACATCTTCAGAGCCCTGATGCGGAAAAAGCTTTGCGTTTTGGACAGCCTGCAGTAAGGTATGTGGAGCTGGTCTCTGTTACGAAGGGCGACGAAGGGGTCTCTGTTACGACAATTGTTTGAATGTTGGGTTAGGGTTACCCAAAGCCGGGAGAAGGAAAAGGGAGCCTATTTTTTCGAACAATGAAATAATAAATTTGATAATGTTGGTAGAAGAGCCGGGACACTCTTTTTAGCCGGGATAAAAGAGTACGGCTCTTGATCGCCAATCATTTCAATGCGGTCGCTGATCACAGATATACGCCTTAACTAAAAGCCTTGTGGGATAACCTAAAGCAATGCACTATGTGGGATAGCCTAAACACAAACCACTACAGTGGTTTGTATTCATTTCCTAAAGAAAAAGGCTAAACGTTTTGATAGTTCATATCTAATAATAAAATCAATTTCATCTTTGTTATTAAAATCATTAACCCTTTCTCTTATCCACCTAGTTAGGCGAACAACATAGGCTACTTTTCATTGCCATCACATCACTTACTTTCAAAAGCTAATTCGTACCGTATTCTCTTCTACCATTTCGCCTTTCCATATAAACTTTTAACTTACAACCAGCTGATATTTACTTAACGAAAGATTAAAGAAGTTAACCGGTCAAAATTGGGCAGTTAATTATCTAACGACGGTTTAGTCTAAACTAGCGCTAACGGCGAGTGGTGAAATCCGATTTCGTCAGTTAAGAGCTAACTGCAGTTAGAGCAAGGCTTAACGGCGGTTTAAAAGTTTGGTGAAATCGGGCCATAGAAATTTAGTGCTCATTTTGTGCTACAACAATATATGGTTTTTATAATTTGTGCTCTAAAAACAACCGAGTAAATGAGGAAAAACTGCCGCTGGTAATAACGTCATCCGCCCCGCCACATTGAACAAATCGGTTGAAAATGGTGTCACGATTTAGTGCTCATTTTGTGCTACAACGATATATAAGTTTTATAATTTGTGCTCTTAAAACACCCGAGTAAATGAGGAAAAACTGCTGCCGGTGATGACGTCATCTGCACCGCTACATTGAGCAAATTGTTGAAAATAGTCACTTAGAAATCTCTTATTGAACACCCTATATTTTTATCACGTTTTCGGATAGAAAATGCAATTTAAAAACTATTTTATCCATAAATTTTTTCCGTAAACCCACTCGTTTAGGAGTTACAGCCTATGAAAAAGAGACTTCCGGTGTAAATTTAACTGTATGTAGCCCCTAAACAAGTAAGTTTAGAGCAAATGTGTGAGGATTAAATACATCTTAAAATTGCATCTACAATCCTAAAAAAACATAAAATACACAGTTTTCCACTTTCCAAGTTTGCTGCCATACTTTTTTATTCTTCACATTTTTGCTCTAAACGTACTCGTTTAGGGGCTACATGATATTAAAAGTACACAGGGAATTTTTTTTCATAGGCTGTAGCTCCTAAACGAGTGGGTTTACGGAAAAAATGTCAAGTACAAAATAGTTTTTAAATTGCATTTACTACCCGAAAACGTTATAAAATATAGGGCGTTCCATAAGAAATATCTAAGTTGGCCGCCATGTTGGAAAAATGGCGGCCATTTACAAACATGACGTTTACTTATTTTTCAACATCTTTAAAAACAAGAGAATGTTCCCGATTTTTTAAGTTTACTGTAAGATGTATCGTTTACAAGAATCTAATGGTGGCTAAAACACCCTATATACTGTATGAATTTAATCTAAAAGTGACTATTTTCAACCGATTTGCTCAATGTGGCGGGGCAGATGACGTCATCACCGGGGGCAGTTTTTCGGCATTTACTCAGGTGTTGTTAGAGCACAAATTATACAAATTGTATATTGTTGTGGCACAAAATGAGCACTAAATCGTGATACCATTTTCAACCGATTTGCTCAATGTGGCGGGGCGGATGACGTCATAACCGGCGGCAGTTTTTCCTCATTTACTCGGGTGTTTTAAGAGCACAAATTATAAAACTTATATATTGTTTTAGCACAAAATGAGCACTAAATCATGACACCATTTTCAACCGATTTGTTCAATGTGGTGGGGCGGATGACGTCATCACCAGCGGCAGTTTTTCCTCATTTACTCGGTTGTTTTTAGAGCACAAATTATAAAAACTATATATTGTTGTAGCACAAAATGAGCACTAAATTTCTATGTATAATACATTGTTAATTCTTTTGGTGGCGGGCTGAACGTGAAGTTAGCCCCACCAACAGTTTTTATAATTTTTTGGTGTGTTATTGTTGAGCAAAAATTTTTTTATAAATACCTTTGAGAAGCACAAATTCAGCACTAAATTATGGACATGTTTTTATAATTTGTGCTCATTATGGTGGGGCCAACTTCACGCGGGTCACCGACCCACCACATGGCGCATAACTGGGTAAATATACATTTTCGGACATGCCTTCACATAAACTTTTTTCTTCCTTTTAGTATGAAGATTCATTTCCCAAAGTTCTGAAACGTTTTTTATGGACACCCTGTATAATTCTGTAAGACAACATTTTTATTACATTTATTTATACTGTCTGGTAAGTCACAGAAAAGCGGGAAAGGTCTTAAATTAAAGGTCTTGACTCCAGGGACTCGGGAATAATAGCAGAATTCCCAAAGAGTTACCAGAAAACGAGGTAAAACGTAAAATTGTCTCCATAAGAATAGCATTAAAAGCCATTTACTGCTGATTTTTGTTTACTTCAATACAGCTGATTGTGATCTATCATCAAGCCAGTACGCAATGTTAACATTTAAAT